AATGTACATGTAGAAGTAATGATTAAAAAAATGTTATTTAAAAAACTGCTCAATTTGCATTCCAGTACTTTTCTGGTTTATGAGCTAGGAAAGAGAGAAGTTTGGTAGAAAAGGCTGATCAACTTGGCCATAATTTTAAAATAAGGTTAATTTGTATATACCTTAAAGAAAATATATCACAAATAATATACCTTTTTCTGTATATGGAAGGGAAAGATGCCTAATCTTAAAAAGTATTCATTCATAAAATGTATCACTACAAAAATGAGGCATTTTACTAGAAATTCTTGAAATCAGAATGGGTTTTTCACCTCTTTCCCATCTTGCAAAATGGCAGGTTAAAAAGCTGACAGGCTGGCTATGAAAAAGAAGGAACCTGAAGCCAAGAAGTTGATGCTGGTGGCAAGACTAAGAACGGTGACCTTACGGCCAAATGCCAAAGAACTAGACGCCCCACTGCAGTCAAAACCCTGTTCCAGTCAGTTAAATGTCTACTCAGGCATATATTCACCATCTGCTGTGTATTCCAGAAAAACCATATACAAAAGAAAGTAACTAGCAGCTAAACCAGGATTGAAAAGAAAGATTCTTGTTACTGTCACAAAACCAGTTGATGGTGACAAGAATGGCAGTACTGGTGTGGTTAAGCTTTGTAAAATACCTAGCTACTACCCCGCTGAAGATGTGCCTCAAAAACTGTTGATCCACAGGCCCACCGCACAACCAAGATGGCCGCAGTCACTTCAGCAACAGTTCCATCCCTGGCCAGGGAGCTGGCCCACATGGCGCAGCAGACCATTCCTGACCCACCTCCCCTCAGCAGAGTACTTATCAATCTGCCTGTTTTGCACTCCACTCTGTCTGGTGAATCCTCTCACTGCCCCTGCACCTCTGGCCTGTACTCCATGCTTAAATAAATAAATCTTTTAAAAAAAAAAAAAGCTGTTAATCTACAGCAGAAAACCCTTCTGTCAGAATGTGAGACAACTGCAAGCTAGCATCCTCCTGGGCCCGTTCTCACCATCCTCACTGGATGCTGCCACGGAGGCAAAAGGGTGATTTTTATGAAGCAGCTGGGCAGTGGCTTCTACTTGTGACTGGATCTCTGTCTCTCAGTCCAGTTCCTCTTTGTAGAACACACCAGAAATTTATCATCACCACCTCTACCAAAAATTCATACCAGTGGTGTGAAAATTCCCAACCATCTCACCGATGCTTACTTTAAGAAAAAGCTGAGTAAGTCCTGACACCAATCTTATGATGATATGCTAGATTACAGAGCAGTGCAAGGCTGATCAGGAAGTTGTGGCATCACTATTTTGCTAAAAATCAAATCTATTCCTCAGTTCCAGGGCTACCTCTGCTCAGGGTTTCTTTTGCTCTCACAAAAGGAATTTATCCTCACAAACTGGTTTTCTAAATATTTTAAAGAGACTGTAAGTAACTGATCTATTAAAATATAAAATAGGTTTTCTATTTCCTTTGCATTTCTCCAGAGTGCTTTGTGTAGATACATGTGCACGTACATGCAAACACATATACAACATACAGTTCATTTATCATAAGACAGAGATTAGACCATTTTAACATTCAAAATTGTCATAATCAAATTGTATTAAATGTATGAGTAAATGTATTTTATAGAAATGCTCTATTTTTTTTTTTTTACTTACTGGTCGTTTTATTTTTTTCTTATTTAAAAAAATTATATATAGATATTTTAACATCATTCTTCATTTTATACATGTTTTCATCTCAGTTGTAAACCTCATGGACTTCCACCACCACTTCACCCATGTGCCATCACCATAATCCTGTGTGCTCTTCCCACCCCAGTCCTGTTCCCCTTGCTTCCCCTGTAGAATGTCTCTGGTTTATTGTTGTTAGTTGATGTTCATTTTTACTTTATTACAATTACTATATATATATGTGTGTATATATATATATATATATATATATATATATATATTCCTGACCTCTTACACTCCTGCTATGAGTGAACCGTCCGATATTTTCCTTTTTCTCAGAATTGCTCTTTAAAAACTAGCATTAAGCTAACACTGAACGCACAAGCAGCAGAATTTTTTAAAAAGTGGTACTATATTGGCCCTCCCTGGTGGCACATCAGGTTAAAGCATAGCACTAAGAAGCTAAAACCACTTCAGCATGAGTGCAATACCTGCCCTGGAGGTGACCACATGGCGCAGCAGACCTCTCCTGACCCACCAGCTGCTCTCCTCTGCAGTGTGTTTCAGTACATCTGCCTGTTCTGCTTCCCACTCTGTCTCTGGTGCATCCTCTCACTGCCCCTGCACCTTTGGCCTGTACCCCAGCTCTATGTGTATAAATAAAGAAATCTTTAAAAAAAAGTGGTACTATATCAGACGAGTGGTACTATATCAAACTAATAAATTTTGCACAGCAAGAGAAAAAACAGCATAATAAAAAGACAACCTACAGTATGGGAAAAAAATTTGCAAATCATATACTGATAAAGCGTTAATATCCAGAGTACATAAAGAACTCATACTACTCAACAGAAGATAATAATACCAATACAATTTAATGACGGCAAGGGGCCTGAATAGACATTTTTCCAATGAAAATATACAAATGGCCAACAGACACACAAAAAATTGCTCAATACGACTAATTGTTAGGAAGCCACAATGAGCTGTCACCTTATACCTACTAGAATGGCTATTATTAAAGAAAAAAAGAGGTAACAAATGCTGGTGTGGATGTAAAAAAAGGGAACCCGTGTGCACTATTAGTGGGAACTGTAAATTGGTACATCTACTATGAAAAACATTATGATGTTTCCTGAAAAAAAAAAAAAAGAAGAAGTACCATCACTTCTCATCAGGGAAATGAAAATCAAAACCTCCATGAGAGACTACTTCACTCCCATGAGAATGGCCATATTAAAAATCCTGAAATAACTAATATTGGTGAGAATGTGGGAGTAAGGAACCCTTGTACACAGTTGGTCTGTACACCAGTTCTTGTAAGCATAAATAAATAAATCTTTAAAAAGTGGTATATATACAAAATGGGATACTATAAAGTTTTATATGGAAGCTGTAAACAAAAAAAGTTGCAGAATTGAGGTTACTAGAGGGGGAAAGAGAATAGGGACGGGACAAGGCAGGGGGAGTGTCCAGTAGTCTAGGGTAATGACTATGGGTGGTCTGCTGGGGGGTGTGGTGTGGGCACATAAATCTGAGGAAGTGGGGAGCTATTTCCTTAAATTTATACAGTGCCGTAAGCCAATGATACCTCAGTTAAAAAACAAAAGAACTATCATATGACCCAGCAATACCACTTTGGGAATACATCTGAAGGAAATGAAAGTGCTATGTCAAATGGTATTTGCACCTCCACATTCATAGCAATATTATTTACAATGGCCAAGGCATGGAAACAATCTAAGTATCCATTGATAAACTAATAGATAAATACGTGGTTTATATAATGCCATTCTGTATATGTAGGTATACATAATATACATGCATAATGAAATATTATCAGCCACACAAAGGGAGAAAATCATTATTTGCAACCACTGGGATGGACCTTAAGAGCATTATGCTATGTGAATGAGTCAGACAAAGAAAGACACTATATGATCTCATTTATATGTGAGTTTCACAAACTTGTAGATAAAGAGATCACATTTGTGGCTTAATAGAGGTGGGGTTGGAGGATGGGACAATGGATGAAGGTAGTTAAAAGGTGCAAACTTCCAGTTATAAGAGATAAGTATTAGGGGTGTAAGGATGTTTGTAGTTAACACTGCTGTGTGATATAGGTGAGAGCTGTTAAAGAGAATAAATCATAAGAGCTTATGAAAAGGAAAAACATTTCTTTCCCTTTTTTTGTATATATATATGAGATGAGTATTAACTAAATTTTTATTATAATCATGATATATATTAGTCAAATTCTTATGCTGTATACTTGAAACTTATACAGTACTGTATGTCAATTGTAACACAATAAAATTGGAAAAACTAGTGTTACGCCATTTTCATTTTAACAGCATTTATTACAAATATTTTATAAACTAGATAAATTACATATAAAAGCTAGACATAAATATATAGAAGCAAAAACAGCTGTACTATTAACATAAGAGAAATAAGCTACTTTTATGCTTAAACATGCATAACTTAATAAAATTGCTAATTTTTCATTGCTAATAATTTTCATGAATTCAAAAGTATTCAGAAATGAAATGCATTATGCTATAATTACTATCAAAGCTCAGAATTATAGAAACAATCATAGAACTACTTATCTTTAAAAATCTCTTTTAAACATTCGGAAGTCAAGTGGACTGTCTTGAAAAAAACAATTTATAAACTTGGGTAAAAGCTCTTACCTAACTGAAGCATATAAAATTTCAGCCTTTGGTTAACAGACACTAAATTTAATGAAAAAATTTCAATTAATGTCTCCCTTATATTCCTGAGTTTTTGCTAAAATAACATAGATAAAATAAAGAATTCGATTTACAGCTTTGTGTAACATTGTGCTTTATTTTTGAAAAACAAAAGGTCATAATTATTTTAAATGTGAATAATGGAGTTTAATAATGTAATCATAATTAGAAGGAATATGTTTAATTTAGCTTAACTGAGGGAAAAATTAATGCCCTCTGACCACTATTTGTAAAACTCATTTATAAATCATGATTAGATTAATCATGTCACCAATTTTTATTTGCATCTTATATCATTTTGATTTAAATGAGGTTAATTATGTAGCATAGAATGCTGTTATCAAAGAATTGAATACACTGCTAATTAACGGTTAGCATAAGGCCAGGCATAGGGTAGGTAGTCAATATCACTTACTAATTTAAAGTAAAAAATTTGTTAATCATTTCTAAGCATAAACACATAATTCAATGTAGTAGTTACAAATTAATCCAAAACACCGCTTAAACATGAAAATACATTGTTTAGTAAACAGTCATAAGAGGAATTTCTACAAGTGGCTATTTTCAGTCTTAGTTTTACCAAAATAGAATTAAATTTAAGGTTCCTTTAAAAAATAAACCTATGAAATGCTGATTTCCTATTTACTGCTACACATGATGTAGATGGTAGGTTCCATCCTCTCTCAATATCAAGCTAACAACATCTTCTGTACGGATTGCTTTGAATTACAACAAACTCCTTAAAACAGAGTTTCCCCTGGAGACTAAATCTCAGTAAATCGGGGGGATTGAGTCCAAGAAGGTGGATTGTTAAACTAGTAGCTCTTCGCCCCTTGCCTCCTGGTAAATTATTATGGTCAGGGTGATTTGGGAACCGAACTAAAGCAACCAAAAGGATTTTATCCTACTTGAACATTACTTGATAGGAGTAACATATCTAATGAAAATAATATTTATCTAGCTTTTTAGTAGTCTACACAGCTTATCATCATGCCTAAGTAATTCTTATCTACGTCACAGGGTTTTCTTCTCATTCTCCTAATGGTCTGCAAGAGCTGTAAACAGTCAACACCACTTTGGAAACTGCCAAATGATTGGGTTGCTATAGTTTCAGTGTTGCATATACCTTTTCTCACCAGGAAGCAGATGAGTCATCTAGCAGTCTTTAAAAACTAAACTGTGGAATATATTCTAATAATCATACTACTTACAAAGTAGTATTTAAACAGCTATACCAACATCAGTTAGTAGAGTTACTTGCAAAACTGGTTATCAAGTATCTATCAATTTAAAAAATTCATTTATATAAAGTATAATGTCAACTCCAGTACAAAATTTTATTTGCCATATTAGACAACTAGGAAGCCATTACTTAATTGGATATGTATCCTGAAAATAATGTGTATAGGTTCATTCTACTTGATTAACTAGTAACAAACCCCTCTAAATTAAAAAAAAAGCAATGGAATGTATTCTCAAACAAATATCATGATGCACCAAGGAAAGTTTAAATTATTAGAGATTTGAATGTTTGATTAGGCTTAAAATCATGAACTGTTCACCACTTCTACTTTTATCTATGCAGAAAAAGAAAACTGCAAGCTTATTGAAGTGGATTAATTTTTAAGCTGATTAAAAACTACTAAATTTAAAATGAACTGATTTTGAATCTCAAGTACACAAATAGAGTATTCAACAATTTATTAAGTCAAATCATCAGTTTTAGCATTAGTAAAAGCCACTGCAAATAGACAAGTTGAAAGGGCTTAACACCAAGTTCTTGGTTCCACATTGTACTTCATACTCCCATCTGTATATCAGCAAAGTTGTAGAAACTGTCTACATCTCCACATGCTGTCTCCTTGTTTTCGGATATAAACATCTATTTTAAATAAAAAAGAAAAGTAAGTAAATACCAGTAATCCCCAAATTCCAAAGCTCATGTTGTCCACAGAACAAAGCCACAGGCTTACTATTTAAAGGAAATTTAAGATCAGCTTTTATAATATTTAATCTGTAGCTTTTTTCATGCAATGTAGTTTCAATTCATAATGTAAACTGAGCTCTTTTAAAAGAAGCACTGATGATATAATTAAGGACTGTGATTTCACAATACTGAAGCTGTATTTTATCACACTTGGAATTTTGCTGTTTTACAACAAATACAACAGTCAATATTATGAATGAAAATGTTTTTAAATGACTCTTAGTTTCTTCATTTTTCTAATAGTAGGCGAGAAGCCAAAATTGAAATTAACTAAAAAAAGAAACTGTCTTTTGAAGAGCCAATGAAGATATGTTACTAATTTTAAATGAATTAGTTTTTAAAAACAGTACTCAATAGGATCAACAAAATAGTACTCAATAGAATCCTTCAAATACAGCTTTTGCAAATGTTAGCCAGGAACTAGAAGAGACCTGGATCTGTTCGAGCTTCATCATAAATTAGCTGTATGATACTGACAATTTAATAAACTTTGATAATAAACTTCAATTTCCACATCTGTTAAATATGAAAGTTGGATTAGATAACCTTTAAGTCATTCATATAATGAAAACCCCAATCCCATAATCATTTTTTGTTTCCTTTTCTATTCAATCTGATTATATGCAAATTTAAGAAATAGCCAAATGAGAGTATAAAATCAAAATTTTTATCTGATATTTATCAAAAATCATTAAATATTTACTCATTCAATCCTTAATTGCTCAATGCAACTTCATGAACATATCTAGAAAATAGACATAATGATTTCTAGGTTTAGCTGAAGTTCAATTTTTTGAAGCATTTATTACTGAAGCAAATATAAATGGACCCTGGACAGACAATGGGTCATCTCTCTAAAGTATATAATATTAAAATATATTTTTTCAACATATGATTATGTTTTTAAAGAGGATTTGAAGAGACCTGCTATTTTTACTTTAGAAACTTACATGCTATTGAAAGTTTTAAACAAGAATATTCTCATTATGTAACCTTTTAAGTAGTTAAAAGTTTAGTTTGGCAAGGAAAAACCAAAGCTTAGTGCCCAATGATTTACCATAGGTTCTAAAAATCAGGATCTGCTGGGGTTTTTGAAATTCCAGATAACACCAAGGATAAAAATACTATTTGGTTATAAGGAAAAAGAAATGAAATGAATAGGCTTTATTGAAATATAGTTAACAAAAGGATATTGTACCTTAGTTCCATTGAATATCTCATTGACAATAAGCTGACAGCCCTCCACAGCACCATCTCCATTGAACTCCAAGGCAATAACAGTACCTGTAAGCAAACCCAAGAAGTGTTGTCTGAATATGAATAGAAATTTATTCTAAGTTTAATATTTTTATTATTCCTTGAAGAAACTCTAGCATATTCTTTGTGGGTTAAGAGAAAAGGAATTAGGAAGTAGACAGGACATAGCATTTCAGCTGTTTCCTTACTCTACTCATAAAACTATAGTGATTCTCATCACATGATGAGTAGCTTCAGCACTATTATAGGAATAGTGTCACATTTTTAAGTGGTGTAAATAGTTTGACTTTTCTGATTTCCATCTTCTATAAAAATAAGATGACAAGTAAGATAAAAAGTAATTCAAGATTTTGCTAGGCACCCAAGCTTGCTTTCAATTCTCATTTGCCAGCCAAATTCTGGACCACCAATAATGAAGCTAAAACAAGTAGGAATTGAGTTCAGACACTAAAAGTATTTTATTGAGTGTGCATTCAACTACAATCAAGAACCCAAGACTGAGTTTTAATTGTTATTTTAAAAAAGATTTATTTATTTATGCATACAGAACTGGGGTACAGGCCAGAGGTACAGGGGTGGTGAGAAGATTCACCAGAGAGAGAGTGGGGGAGCAGAACAGGCAGATCAATGAAGTACACTGCTGAGGGGTGCAGCAGGCGGGTCAGGAGAGGTCTGCCATGATATGTGGGTCACCTCCGGGGCTGGATGGAGATAGAACTCACACTGAAGCGGATGCTGCTAACTTGCAGTGCTGTGTCCTAACCCGTTGCACCACCAGGGAGGGCCTGAGTTTTTATTTTTTAATTCTCTGAACAGCATATTTGTGCTTCTTTTCCAGTACATTAATTTGAAAACTTTAAAACCACCTGTACTTTAAATTCTGGTGTAAAGATTCATGACTCAGCTTGGTTTGTACAGATATTTAAATGTAGCACTGGCACTATGGGTGTCAAAATAGAGGCAAACATGGCCACAAAGCAGCCAAACAAAATACGTCCTTCAATTCAATTATTATCTATTCAGCTGTCACTGTATTCTCCATACATTTGCTTTTTATCTCCTAAAGTAATGGAAAAGCCCTGAACTTCAGGAGATTACAAACTTCTTGGGGAAAAAAAAAGACAAACCATTAAACAAATTCAGAACAACAGGGCTAAGTACTAAGTAATGAAATACCAAGATGAATGAATATGAAACAATGAGTTGAAAGTAGTCATGTAACACAGGGCAAGGTGCAAGAATAAGAGAAAAATAAAAGTGGGGGGAAATTAGAGAACTGATCCTACTCCATAGGACACCAAAATAACTATGGGTTTGTGATTTAATACTGACAACAAATACAGAAAAGGCAAGATATCTAAAGTCAACTGGATAATTAGCTACAGAGAACAAAGTATGAGTTTTTCACTATCACAGTCTATAGGTCAAGATAGGTGTTGAGAAAAGAAGGTAATTTGGGAACATTTTCTCAGAAAAACAGATGATTCTGTATTTGGGACAAGAAATGGGTAAGATCAACTTGTAATATTTTGTTGAAACTAATTAAGGTTCTCAAAGGCCAATGGAGTTGTATCAAAAAGACCTAGGAATCAGCCTGAAGAGATGCCAAATGGCCAAGATGGGACATTATGAGATCAGAGGAATAATGACCGCAATTTATTAAAACATGTAAAAAGTCATGAGCTAGTAACATTTTTTTTT